CGGCCACTCGCTGCCGCTGCTGGGCGCGCAGGTCACCGAGCTCACTGACGGGGTCTTCATTGTCATATCCTTCAACCACGTCGCCGGCGATGGGTTCACCTGTTGTGCGTAGCAGAAATTTTGGCAGAGTTTTTGGTGCACAATAAGAGAGAAAGATTGCAATAAGAATTCCCGTCTCACCAAGGAAACAAGAATCTGAAGTGAATATCTCAACAAAGTGAGATATCAGCTCTTCCACTTATCAGTTCTAGGACTGACCTGTCGAGGGAACCTAATAAACTATTATAATGGCTACGAATAGCAAATCACACAAGTTTTACGTGGTTCAGCAAATTGCCTACGTCCACGGGGCAAGGAGGAGGGAGATCTACTATTTGAGAGAGAGAATACAAATAGGGTTTATGTTTGTGTCAAAAGTTGCCTTTTCCATTGTTTTCAAACCTGTTACACCGTTTATTGATTACAAGTTCAAACTGAAAAGAGAGTTGATCTTTTTATAAGATCTTCTTACAACGAAAAATAAAGATTACAACTTTATCAAACAAAACACAGCAGTAGTTTATCTCCCGCTGCTTTGCGTGGGATCTTTGCCTGTGCCGGGGACGCGTTAGTCCGTGGACCACCGCAGACCAAAGCCGATCGACAATATAATTACGCTCTTGTTTCACGAGGGAAACAATTACGGAAGCGACAATCACGACCAAGCGAGATTGTGGCTCTTCTCGAGATTAAAACCAAGTTTAATCCGGAGGAAAGAAGGGAAAAGAATCACAAACCTTTCGAAGGGGCTTTCTTTATGAAAGTGTTCGCCAAGCTCTGATGATTCTCCTCTGAAATTCGTGGTTGACTGGTCAATTTGACAGCACCTCGCCTTCTTAATCTCAGATCTCCGATCCCCTTGAAAGAAGACCTTAGGCTTCTATTTATAGGCTTTTTGAGATGTGTCTCCTAGTAGGAATTGATGTTTAAACGTTATCTGCGGTTTATAACTGTCTAAACGTGTTTATGGATAACCTCAGAGCAGTTGGAGAGGTTTTGGGACGAAAGAATCCTTAAAAATCATCGAAATCCGTGTTTGGGGAGGTTTTGTATCCAACAAGAGTCCTGGTGACTCGGGACTGTGCGAGTCAGCTTCTGGTGACTCGAAAATGTGTGAGTCAGCTTCTGGTGACTCGGAACTGTGCGAGTCAGCTTCTGGTGACTCGGAACTGTACGAGTCAGCTTCTGGTGACTCGGAACTGTGCGAGTTAGCTTCTGGTGACTCGGAACTGTGCGAGTCAGCTTCTGGTGACTCAGAACTGTGCGAGTCAGCTTCTGGTGACTCGGAACTGTGCGAGTCAGCTTCTGGTGACTCGGAACTGTGCGAGTCAGCATTTGGTGACTCGGAACTGTGCGAGTCAGCTTCTGGTGACTCGGAACTGTGCGAGTCAGCTTCTGGTGACTCGGAACTGTGCGAGTCAGCTTCTGGTGACTCGGAACTGTGCGAGTCAGCTTCTGGTGACTCGGAACTGTGCGAGTCAGCTTCTGGTGACTCGGAACTGTGCGAGTCAGCATTTGGTGACTCGGAACTGTGCGAGTCAGCATTTGGTGACTCGGCACTGTTCAAGCTTCTAAGCAATGTTTCGTGATTCTTCCAGCTTCTTTGTTTTGCGTACGCTTCGTCGCCTTGCTGATTTTGGATGAATTCCTTTGACTTGGATAATAACGTTTATCGTCTTTTCCTTGTCTTGCACTGTGTTTGAGGACCTATGGGCAATTTTTAACGCCTACAGATACCCCCTCCAAAGTGTTTCAGTCTCGTTTCTTTTATAGAGGAGCCTGAAATACTTTGGATATGATAGGCTATATTTGCAGAAGGACCTGTCATGGGTTTCATTTCTTGACTCCTTCAGCCCTCAATCTATTCAGAGTTCTGTCGAATAGATGAAGTTTTTACGGCTCTGCGTTTATCGTCTGACCGCTGTTGAAATCTTGAAACTAAACGGCGTCGCTGATTTAACGTTGAGTTGACCCTCGTTGTTGGGGAATTCCCATCTGGTGACACCTTGACAGACGTTGACCAAAAGTCATGCATTTGAAGCAGAGAGGACCAGTTTATACTCGTATACTCTTGGGAGTTCTGAAAGTTAGTTTAGCCTCATATACTTATCGGAGGTCGCCGGGTTATCCTTAAGAATATTGTATACGATATTCTCCAGGAACTTCCCGTCGAGGGTGGGAAACAGTTTAAACTCGTATACCCATTGGAGTTTTAAGAAGCAGTTTATACTCGTATACTTTTCGGAGTATTGATTCTTTCATTGCAACGCATTGATCGGCATTGACCTAGGGTTACGCGTTGACCGGCGTTGACCCTAGGGTTTTGAATGTCGTACGTTGACTTTTTTGATCGCAACGCGTTGACTGGCGTTGACCTAGGGTTACGCGTTGTCCGACGTTGACCCTAGGGTTTCGAATATCGTTGGATGCTCAAGTCACGAGACCAACTAACGAAGCTGATGCTTCAGTAACTCTCGTATTTATAGGATTTTTGGCAAACCCTCAGCCATCAACGGGTTTGATGAGCCTTTACCGACCACCGTTTGAGTCGGGCTAGCATGTGGATTGTCTAAATCCGTTCCGCATGTGACGTTGTGCTAAGAGACTGAATTCTTTTAGACTTGGCGCTACGACTTCGAATACGTAGACTTCGTCTTTCTCACGGGAATAGACTACCCGACAACGTGTATTAGACGCTCACTTATCCCTATTTAGGCTTCGGGATAAAATACCCCAGACTGGTATTCTGGTGTCTTTTTCTACGGAGAAAGACTAAACCGGCGACGCGTGTTAGGCGTCGGCATATCCTTTCTTAGGATTCATGATGAAATTCCCCATGCGTGTAAGGCATGGATTCTGGTGTTATTAATAACAACATGCCACAATGTTGAATATATGAACGGGTGTTCTTTTTAAACGGTTAAGAACTGACCGGCAGCGCGTGTCAGGCGCAGACTTATCCCTGCTTAGGATTCGGGATAAACTTCCTAGGATGAATCCTAAATTGATAAATTTCGGAAAAGATCGATGCGGGAAAGGTAGACGTTGACTTATCCCTACTTAGGCTTCGGGATAAAAATACCCCAGACTGGTATTCTGGTGTCTTTTTCAATCGGTAAAAGACTAAACCGGCGACGCGTGTTAGGCGTCGGCATATCCTTTCTTAGGATTCAGGATGAAATTCCCCATGCGTGTAAGGCATGGATTTTGGTGTTATTAATAACAACCTGCCACAATGTTGAATATGTGGACGGATGTTCTTTTCAACGGTTAAGAACTAACCGGCAGCGCGGGTTAGGCGCAGACTTATCCTTGCTTAGGTTTCAGGATAGAATACCCCAGAATCGAACTCTGGTGTCTTTTTGTACGGAAAAAGACTAAACCGGCAGCGCGTGTTAGGCGCAGACTTATCCCTGCTTAGGATTCGGGATAAACTTCCTAGTACCTGTGAGGCACAAATTTTGGGATTTGAAAAAGGTGGTGTCTTCTCTTGGGGCAAAGACGAACCCGAAATGGGAGAGGAAGAATTTTATATTCTATCTCCCGACACTGAAGACGAAGAATTTTATATTCTATCTTCAGCTGGAAAGGAGACTCGAGGTGGGATCTCCACCCCCAGAATCCGGAAAGGTGAAACTAAGAGTGGGATCTCCACTCCGAGAATCGAAAAGATTCAGATAATCCTAACTGTTGGAAGGTTTGATTACCGAACTAAAGATGAATTTCTCGTTTATCGAGAGGGAATTATGGTTTTGACCTTAACTGTAGGAAGGTTTGATCACTTGATTTGAAAGTGGACCTCTCGTTCATTGGAGGAATCGAGAGGGGATTTTGACTGTGGTCCTAACTGTAAGAAGGTTTGACCAATTGGGAGGTTTGAGACGATCCTAACTGTAGGAAGGTTTGATCGCTCGATTTGTGGACCTCTCGTTCATTGGGGGGAATCGAGAGGGGTTTTGGTTTTGGTCCTAACTGTAGAAAGGTTTGACCAATTCTGAATATTATGTCCAAACTCTAGCAATAAGAGTGATGAGAATTTGAATGGGAGTTTCTTATTCATTACCTTGCTGTGGTGACCGGGTTATCCCTAAGAATACACTATATGGATTTCTTTTGGGAACTTCCCGTTACATGAATCATCCACCCCCAGCTTCCTCTGCTGAACTGGGTATAACGAGGAGTACGTTATCCTCAATCGCATGTTCAGGTTATCCTTAAGAATATATGATTCTCTAGGAACTTCCTGTTACATAAATCGTCCACCCCCAGCTTCCTCTACGGAACTGGTCGGACATTATTCTCAGTTACCTGACCGGGTTATCCTTAAGAATATTAGTGTAACATCCTCCAGGAACTTCCCGTCAAAAGTGGGAAACAGTTTAGACTCATATACCTATTGGAGTAGTGACTCGGCCTTGGCCGAGCCAGCATTTAGTGACTCGGTTTTTTCGGGCTTTGTTCTGGATTTTGGCCTCCAGATTTGACGTGGTTTCGTCAGTTTAAAGTCTGCAGTACTTGTTTGTAGTTTCTTGGCCTCTTGTACCAGGATTCTTGCGTGCGCAAGTAAAGCGTGGCGCTTCTTGGTTCATTCTTCAAAAGTGGAACGTGTCCTCTTAACGGGGACCCATTCATTTGTCGTTGGTTTGGACCAATCGCTAAGTCGCTGCTGTGCCTGTTGGCGTCCTCTAGACTTCAGATCCGCTTCATAGCGGATTCCATCCAGTTGACGCCGTCTTTGACGCGCCCTCTTGGATAAAGTTGGTTCGGCCTTGGTAGCTTCAGCTTCACAAGGAGTCTTTTGAACCGCTGCGGGATGAGGTTCTTGATTTTGAACCTTCAAATCCAAATGTCCTCGACCTTTCCTTGTGGAGTTTCTCCTATTCCTACGAGGGGAGGATGATCGGGAAGAGGAGGATAAGTACTCTTCATATTTTGCTTGGTCGAACTCGTACTCGACCTCCTCGTTGATCGGTATGACGATCTTTGGTTGCGACACTACAGCTTTTGATGAAAAGCTGTCGGCTCCCACTGTGGTCGCCAGTTTGTTTGTGTCAAAAGTTGTCTT